TGAAGTGCCAGATCTTCTGTGATTTGAGGAGGAGGTTCTTCTGGGGATTTACCTGGAACCTGTTGGCTCAACGTGTGCAGAACCAACTTGACATCGCTTAGCCTCTGCTGGAAGACACTGATCACATCAGCAGATCATCAAGTCATGTGTAAATGTGAAGGTGAAACTTCTTCTAGTGAACCACCAGGACCACCATGATCTTGACAAAGTAACTAAGGACAGTCCAAATGGTGGTGCCTTGTAGTGGGTCATGTCCATATGTAAACTGAAGGAACTGGCACTATGCAAGCTATCCTGGGATTTGAACATATGGTTCAGTAAGGTCCTGAGAAGACAGGAAATATGCTTCAGTAAGGACATGCTTGAGAACTTCTGTATAAAGGTAGCACTTACTGACAAACCAATTTACTTTTCTCAGGTTTGGTATGGATCTTCAGGTGCTGTTCTTCTTGGGTACAGTGAAAATGAAGGAGTAGCAGCCTCTGAGGTTGGAACTTCATATATTGCCCTTATTTAGTTCAAATGATCAATGTCTTCCAGTAGGAGGTGATGCTTTCCTGGATTTTAGGACTTTGGGGTGGTTATGAAGAAATTATTTAGTTTGTGGGAGGACGTGATCTGATAGCCATACCTAATAGTGTTCAGCACACACTTGTCTGAGGTGCAAGGTCTCCCATACATGCACAAATTCTGAAGATTTCCCATTATTGACATGCTGATGTTACCTCAACATTTGAGGAAAGTACAAGATAGATGCTTTTGAACTGTGGTGTTAGAGGAAAATTCTGAGAGTGCCTTGGACCATGAAAAGATCCAACCAATCCATACTTCAGGAAATAAAGCCCGACTGCTCATTGGAGGGAAGAATATTAGAGGCAAAGATGAAGTACTTTGGCCACATAATGAGAAGACAGGAAAGCTTAGAGAAGACAATTGTTCTGAGGAAAATGGAAGGAAAAAGGAAGAGGGGCCGACCAAGGGCAAGATGGTTGGATGGTATCCTTGAAGTGACTGGACTGACCTTGAAGGAACTGGGAGTGGCTATGGTCGACAGGGAGCTCTGGCGTGGGCTGGTTCATAAAGTCACGAAGAGTTGGAAGCGACTGAACAAATAAACAACAATATAGTTTGGATTGGAAACTTTGTTCTTTGTTCTCCCCATGAGTCCTGGTCTGAAGTCTCCTGTCAGAAAGGAGGAGCTCAAAGTGCTCAAAGTGGAGGTAAAGTCTGATTGAAGGACAAAAAAAGGATGAGCAGCCCTGCCTATTGTCCTCTCCTTTTTCTTGGGATTTGTGTCTTCTTTATGACCTTGTTCACAATCAGGACAGGCTGTAATGGGCCACGAAATGGCTTGGTCTCTTGAAAATAGGCAGATATAAAGTTCTGCTTGGAATGTGAACTCATGTTCCTTTTTTTTTAACCAAAGCTGGCATCTCATCTCTATCCATCCTATCTGACCCTTGGTGCTAAACTGAATGGTACCCAGCCTAGCATCCACAATAAAGGCTGTCATATTTATCAGTTTATTCATTTCCTGCCTAAATTTGGTTCATTGGGGAGAATTATCTTCAATGCATCCTTGGGCCAGAGCAGTGATACTTTATCCATAATGGTGATAGACTGCTGCCTTTAATGCCAGGAAAGAAGCTTCATGTGAATTCTTATGGGCTGCCTCAGTTTCTTGTCCTCAGTGACTCTTGGTGTATCATCCCCATTCTTGCAGGACACAAGGGTTGATACAGGGGCATCAACCAATAGAACTTGTAGTTTAGCCATGACATTTTTAGGAAGACAGTAAAAACAGAAGTGTTTTCATCTGTGAAATATTGCAGAATATGCACTCCTTCTCTGCCAAAGTTTTATTTGTATTTTAGCATGAAATCTTTTTAAAGAAAGCATGTAACTAAATTATCTAGGCAGGATATTTTATAAAACAATAGTGTAAACTGATATTTATAAAGCCAAACATCCTACTAATCTGAAGGTATTTTATTATAGAGAAGTAAAATCAAACAGCTACAGCAAACAAAACAAGCAATCCAGAACATGTAAACAAGGAATTACACATTTGTAGTTTCGTAAACTTAGTTCCTTTCTCCAATAGCAAACATCACACTACAGTTGCACTTAAAGAAAGAAAATGTCCCTCTGTTTGCAATGTAACTTTAGTTATCTTTATGGTTACAGGGATGTGGTGTCACCAAACAGTGAAGGAAAAATATTACACATGCCTTGTGTCGATGCCTCATGCTCTGTTGTGAGTGTGGAGATAGCTGTGACAGGAAGGGACTGCCTTTTGGACCACGGTCTGGCAGCTTGAGATACTCTTATTTTTTTAACACAATGAAAAAGCAACCACTTTAGTTACTTTTGAAGAATGAAGAGGAAAAAAGGTTACTTTTAAAAATTTAACTAGAAAAATTACTTGTGCACATTGGAACTATGGCTATTATTTAAAAACTGTATTCAAACTGTATCCTTCATCATTCAGGAGTAGAAGTCCACAGCCTTCTCAAAATAGTGTCTCTAGATATTACCGTACAAGACCACTATTTGCTTTTAGATCTGCCAATTTCTACATGATGCACATTACTTTGCAACTGCAACACTCTGTCACACTTCCGAACTGTGCATGTGTCAATGTGGGCAGAGCAACAAAAACAAATACCAAATAGATTTAGGAAATGGTTAGAAGGAACCATCAGAAAAAGAAAACCATAATCCTTAGGTTTCACTGCAAACCTTCTAATTAAATAAACATTTCTGGTGGGTACTTTTATAAAAATAGAATGGACAGGGATTTCCTTCACATTACTTGTATAACCAGAAGGAATAAAAAAAGATGGGTTCTTAATTTCCCCCCCCAAATAGCCATCCTACGTCTGTGATTATGGACACTAACATGGGAAATGGGAAATGAAGCTGCCATTCCAAATAGCCCGAAAACTAAAGCTTGTAATCCTACTTGCTTGAAAAACACATGCTTGTATTCCATGCCACCTGCTAACTGAAACCTTTTCCTGGGATGGGAGAATAATAACTGCTTCAGGAAATGGTCATTTGGATCATGGCTATAGAGTGAGAGGAAAAGTTTAATCCTTGTGTTTAGATCCTGAGTGGGACTGTCCACACTGATACCGAATTCTGAGAAACAGGTGCATGAAAAACATATATGTATTTTGCATATCATATAGCTAGACCTTGACCTAAAGAATAGAATTTGGTTGTACAGCTGTGCAAATAACTGCCTATGGCTGAGTTACAAAATGTTATATATAATGGAGTTAGAGATATTATTCACCCATTGTTTTCGAAAAATGTCCTAACAGCAGTTCATACATTACTGTTCTAATATTACTTCACATAACTCTAAATGAAGTTTAGAAAGTACTTCTGCCCTCCCTCAATGACTTAATTCCACTGCACTTGTGAATGCATGATTCTAAAAGTTTTCCACCCTAAATCTCAAGACTCATCGTATACGATGGCTTCCTTTGGTTAACATAACAGTATCTGTGCCATTAAGATTTCAAGGTGCTTCAACAGTTTCCGCTGTTCCTGTTAAGACTGACTTTGGAAATAAAATACATTTTTCTTGTTCAACTCACTTGCTTATCAACAGGCTCAAAAGAGGTCCCAAAAACTCTACCTCTTGTTTGTACTTGGACTTAGTTTCCTTTAAACTTGGACCTTTAAACTTTGTACTTGGATTTAGTTTCCTTTAGTTTCCTTTAAACTTGCACAGTTTCCTTTAAACCATTAACAATGCAATTTGGTACATGACTGGGAGTTAGGTTCTCATCCAATAAGACTGGCTAAGATCCATGAGGTACACTGTTAAGTAGGCAGGTATAAAATACAATCTTTAACAACATAATTCTATGAACAGTTGTCCAGGGAATTAGTCCCACTGAATGCAGAGTAACTCAATTCCAAATAGACAATTGCAGGATTGGGTTGTTAACGTATATTTATTTATTTATTTATTTATTTCTGTCACTTTTACCCCGCCCTTCTCACCCCCGGGGGGGGGGGGGACTCAAGAGATTGAAGAGATTCCAGTTTAACTGCAAAATACTGTGATTGCATTCTATTAATTTATTCATTTACTGTATTTGTATCCCATCCTTCTCACTCTAAAGGGGACTTAGAGCTGTATTACAATGGGCAATAACTCAATGCCATGTAAAACAACCATATAATAAATTAAACATAGACATTAAAACATAGAATTAAAAAAACATATAAACATATTCTGGCTAATCTCCAAATCAAACAAAGTATTTTATGTACAAAATAGAAGTCTCTTTCAAATAGACTCAAATATCCAAACTGAATTACAGTGGTGCAAACCATTCTTAATAAACATAGGCCATCAAATGAATTGTTATTATTATCATTATCATTATCATTATCATCATATCCTAGTTTATCTCTCCCAAAGGAGACTCAAAGCAGCTTAACATAAAAGCACTAGCATAAAATATAAGCATTAAAACAGAATTGAATATTAACACTATTTTAAAACCCCCCAGTTAAAAACAATTTAAAAATATTCAAAGTTAAAACCCATAAATAGGTGTATGGAATCATTCTCACCAAAAGAAGCAAGGGACAAAAATTCTATGTCCTTGAATGAAGAATTTTGAAATACTTCAAAGAGTTATAAACTCATTAACAATATGCAAAATAGGTTGATAGTGCAATCTTTAGTGTGTATAGTCAGAAAGAAGACTCATTGGGCTCAATGTATAAGACATTGTGTTTAAAGGATTACAACCTTAAGGTAATAAACCCTTGGGATTCATCTTTGGATGAAGCACAAGTCAATCAAAAAGACACCCAACTCACATCACACTGGAACGGCTTTTCCCCTGTATGGGTTCTCATGTGTTCATCAAGGCCACGTTGTGTTTAAAGGATTACAACCTTAAGGTAACAAGCCCTTGGGATTCATCTTTGGATGAAGCACAAGTCAATCAAAAAGAAACCCAACTCACATCACACTGGAACGGCTTCTCCCCTGTATGGGTTCTCATGTGTTCATCGAGGCCACGTTTCTGACTGAAAGCCTTGTTGCACTCCGAACACTGGTAAGGTTTTTCCTATAAGAGGGTGACAAAAGAGGAAATGAAAAGGGTGGAAGTCAATAGGAAGTAAAACTCATTCAAGGGCAATATTCCAGGTGTGATGAAGGAGCCTTGATATCAGTTAGAAAAGAAAGATACACATGCTTAGCTTGAAAGATACACATGCTTAGCTTGATAGTTATCATGCTTAGCTTGATAATTTACAGTATTTATATTCTGTCCTTCTCACCCAAAGGGGACTCAGAGAGGATCACATATACAGCAAATATTCAGTGCCATTATACACTGACAAGACAGACAATTGTACATAAATAGAGGCATATATAGGCTTTCCCATCTTCAAATTCTTGGAGTCTGTGCTTGGTTCTGACCATGGGGTGGGGTTGCTGTTGCTCCACTTTCCCTGCTGCAGGGCTTTTGTTCATAAACTTCCTTATAAGGAATGTGCTGAAGGAAATGAAATATGCCAGCTTTTTCTAACTCCTGATATGGACCACCTAACAACATGTGTCAAAAAGTCCAATTTAAAAATTTGCTATAGAAACATTTTGATTGAAGACATTTTGAATTTTCTTAACCATAGTAAAAGAAAGCACACGTGCAAGGGTTTCCAAGAAATACAAACAGGAAAGGAGAATATCTGCAAACACCATGAAGGCAACCGTGGAAAGTTTATACACTATCAATCTTTGAAAATGGTCTGATATGCCTACAAAATCCACAGTGTAGTCTCAGTATGTCCTGATGATGGAGTTCTTTTGCATTCTTTTTATACTTCCATTGAAATGTTTACCCACTTTTGTGGCTTTTAAATATTTATTTTATTTTAGGTAACCATTTGACCAAGATAATTTCCTAGCAAAAAACATATTTAGAAAGGAATCGTGCGGATGATGTCTTCAGGCTTTTACGTCAATGGGTTTTCAAAAAACTGTCTACTGAGTAAATACTCCATATGCAGCCTCTGTAATTTTTACAGAAGTATACATCTCAGCCATATGAAAAACAGGCCTCGCCAACAAACCCTTAATTTGTTTTGCATTGTAGTTAATGCAAACCACATTCTGTGTAAGCATTCTGAAAATCTATTTTATTATGTGTATCTGTTCCTTGGTAGATAGCTCAAAATAAAAGTTCAGTAAGTAATTCCATATCTGAAATACAGAGAAATGTGGATATTATACAGAATGGTCGCAAGTATGTGATCATCAACAGTTGATCAAGAATATTTCTGCTTCCCCATGGTGTCATCTCAAAATGTCACTGAACATGTGGCTCACTAGGTTAAATTCAACTTCTGAGAAGTGGACATATGAAGGAAGAAATATTTGAATAAAATCTGAAAAAATGACCCCATTCTCAAGAAATATTCATCCTAAATGACACTAATGATAGCAATCAGTTCCATATGATTGTTTTCCAAGTGTAATGTACTTAATCCTGTTGCAGCGTTTTTTCTATCATCAACAGAAAGAAACATTAAGGTTAGTTAGGCAGATGAGAGGGTGTGTCCACACTAAGAGTTAAGAGCAGAATTGTCATGCTTTGTTTTAATTGGACATCCACACAATATTTATTTACAGTATTTATTTTCTGTCCTTCTCACCCAAAGGGGACTCAGAGAGGATCACATATACAGCAAATATTCAATGCCATTATACACTGACAAGACAGACAATTGTACATAAATAGAGGCATATATAGGCTTTCCCATCTTCAAATTCTTGGAGTCTGTGCTCGATTCTGACCATGGGGTGGGGTTGCTGTCGCTCCACTTTCCCTGCCGCAGGGCTTTTGTTCGTAAACTTCCTCCTTGTGTGAATTGTCAGCATTTATCTGGCATTTCCTTACAGGTGCCTTAAATACCTCCCTGCTTAAGTGGTACCTATTTATCTACTCACTTTGCTGTTTCGAAACTGCTAAGTAGGCAGAAGCTGGGCTAAAGGCCAGGAGCTCATCATGACCTAGGCTTCGAACTGTCAACCTTTCAGTTGGCAAAATTTACTGCAGCTGATGGTTAACCTGTTGTGCTAAAGCCCGGCCTAATATCCAGTCATTGCCATGTTGCATTCTGTCTGTAGTTTTTCTTTAACCAAAAAAAGTATACGAAGAATTGGAGTTAAGAGAAATTTTCACAAGCACAGATTTTTCTACTGCAGCTCTTTTGCTTTTGAAATAGAGTTTTGATAATGGCACAATGTATCAGAAAACAATTTAGCACATCACACAGGCATGACAATACTTTATAACCATTTTTTAAAAAAACTATTTCATTTATATCTAAAACAATTGTATGGCGAAGTGAAAAGGAGGCTTAGTTCTGTTCATCCATAATGTTTATATTTTAAAAGAACATTTTTAGTCCCTATCACTATCAACAGATATAAACCAAAGGTATTCTGTGACATTTTCCTGAGAGTTTGCTCTGGATTTATTTTTATATTTATCAAACATTCTTGTCTAGCTGTTGAACAGAAGAGAATCATTTATGATTTACATGAATAGGATTGATTCACGTGTTTATGTTCATCACTCAGTGATGGTGTCATTAATTGGTTAGACAGGGAATATGAACAATTCCATAAAAGGGATGGTCGCAAGATGAAATTTTATAACTTAAAGTATTATTATACAACTAAGGTATGTTCTGACTGTGTCGTTTAAATAAAAGAATATAGCACAGTTGCTTTTATGATATCTGCTTTGATTTATGATTACCATCTTTTTTATTTACTAAGTTACTTAGTATCAGAGACAACTATCCATACCTCAACCCATTTTATGTTTCTGCCATCAATAAATGCAAACAGATGTCATTCTTTTCCTTTGGTGAGTGGAAGTCATTTTTCTATAATCTGATAGATACTCCATAAACAGCTGGAATTTACAATCCTAGAACTTCTTCAGTGTCTGTGAAATCAGTTTTTTATTATCTTCCGGATGACTTTGTATTTGCTGATAGTTAAACTATTTCCCTCCTCCTTTTTTTCTGTGCTTTTAAATCTTTTCATCTTTGTTTTAATATCGTCAGTGTCCCCATTGTCCTTCTTAATAGCATCAATATTTCCCCCTCCCCAATTGTTGCTATAGTTTTTATCTGTATGTTTTGTATAGATTTACTGTTGTTAAGAACAGAGCAGGAAAACATATTTTTCCACATTGTGACTGTTCTCTGTCCTTGAAGTATCAGTTACCTATAATAAAAACTAGGAAGGTAGTCATTATTTATAGTATTTGCTTTTCTTTTATGGATATGTTTTTAAGATGATGAGTTTGAATAAAGAAAAGTTATTCCTCTCTCTCTGATTATCCTGACCCAGTTGGATATCCATGGGCTTATGAATGTTACTTTTTGGACCAGAATTTCCAAAACAGCAAAACCCATGAACCAAATTGATTGGCAGATTCTGGGAGTCAAAAACCAAAAAGTAACATTTTCAAGGCCCCCTGCTAGCACACTGGATTAAACCACTGAGTTGCTGAACTTTCTGACCAAAAGGTTAGAGATTTGAATCTGGGGAGTGGGGTGATAGACCCAACTTCTGCCAATCTAGCAATTCAAAAACATGCAAATGTGAGTAGATCAATAGGTACTACTTCTGGGATCCATTCAATCATACCGGCCACATGAACTTGGAGATGTCTATGGACAACACTGGCCCTTCAGCTTAGATATGGAGATGAGCACTTCCCCTCCCCAGGGTTGAACACAACTAGACTTAATGTCAGGGGAAACCTTTACCTTTAACCTTTTCAAGCTCTAACATGACATTTCACTCTCCCCAAGGGATTTTGACAAATTAGAACTCACATTTTTCTTTATTACTGTCTTGACATCAAAATATCCTGCATGTGAAAATCTAAATTATTTTCCATAAACATTTGGCAAAGTTGAGAAAGATTTTGAGTAAACTGGGCAAGATTTTGACATGGAGTGCTTTCAACTAAAAAAATTAAAAGCAGCCAGACTGGTTGGATATGAAACGCAACATTACATGTAGATCTGCTCCAAACTATCAAACTTTTTTTTTGGGGGGGGGGGGACGACGACTTAGGAATTATGCTAATATTGGGTTGTTGTGAGTTTTCCAGGCTGTATAGCCATATTCCAGAATCATTCTCTCCTGATGTTTCACGCACATCTATGGCAGGCACCCTCAGAGGTTGAGGGCTCTGTTAGAAACTAGGTAAATGAGGTTTATATATCTGTGGATTGTCCGGCGTGGGAGAAAGAACTCTTGTCTGCTTGAGGCAAGTGTAAATGTTGCAACCGATCACCTTGATCATCACTGAATAGCCTTGCAGCTTCAAGGCTTGGCTGCTTCCTGTCCGTGGGAATTCTTTGTTGGGAGGTGATTAGCTGGCCCTGACTGTTTCTTGTCTGGAATTCCCCTGTTTATGAGTTTTGTTCTTTGTTTACTGTCTTGATTTTAGAGCTTTTTTAATACTAGAAGCCAGATTTTGTTCATTTTCACCGTTTCCTTCTTTCTGTTAAAATTGTCCACATGCTTGTGGATTTTCAATGCTAATGTTTATTGGGGTTGGGAGGAGGAGTTGAAAACTGGATGCTTTTCCAACAGAGTTTCTTGGAAGTAGTCACTGCCATTTGCTTCTAACTTGGGAGGGAGAAGCTCCATTGTTATCAATGCATCAAAACTGGATGCTTTTCCAACAGAGTTTCTCGGAAGTAGTCACTGCCATTTGCTTCTAACTTGGGAGAGAGAAGCTCCATTGTTATCAATGCATATAGAGTAAGCAATGCATCTCATTCTCATATCACACAGGTAGGATGTAAAAAAAACATCTCCAAGTGTTCTTACAATGGACAACCAAGTGTGTTTAGAAAAACTACAACTTTTTATGAAAACTCATTTTGACAAAGGAACATTTTTGCAAAGACAGCCAAAGTATTTTGAAACAAACCACAAATATTGTGGGCATTTTTTACAAACTATTTTTTTGGAATAAAACTTTCCCACAAGTGTGAAAATAATTTTAAAATGAGCAATAAATAGTATAACGTTGTCTAATATGCAAACCTTTGAAATAGTTCAGTACAGTTACAAAAAAGCAAATATTTGTATCCCTCCTGACATATGATCTATCCACCACATCAGGTGACTGACAGCAGAGTAAACTATGATTAAGTCTGGCATCAAGACACAGACTCTCTCCAACCTCCTGACAGCAATTCAAAAACTCTCCTGTGTAATGCAGATGCCAACATACAACGGAGTGTGTTACTTTGGGGGGGGGGGCACCTTAACTGAAAGAAAATGAGACAGAGTACTTTATTTTCAGCAAGGTAATATAAGTTTCAGAGCTTTTTCTGATGTGGTTAATAACAACATAGGTGTTATATTTTGGGGACCACAGTGAGGAAGAAATAGCCAGAACATCACTTCTCTGTGTGTTATCTGTTACTGAACATCTGCCTTTGCAGGTATGTTATGTGTTATACTAAAGTTCAAAGCTCTGAGGATCTCAACCTTATCTGTATCCAGAGCTTCTAGTGCATTGGGTCTCAACCTGTGGGTCCTCAGGTGTTTTGACCTTTAACTCCCAGAAATTCCAGCCAGTTTACCAGCTGTTAAATTTTTTGGGAGTTGAAGGCCAAAACATCTGGGGACCCACAGGTTGAGAACCACTGTTCTAGTGGAAATGTAACTCCTAAACGTTTTCTAATGATACATTATAATCCAAACACATGGCTGGGTTATTTCTAGGATTCAAAAGAAAACACTGAATTGGCAGAATTCTTTAATCTTAGCTGCTAGCATGGCTGCTACTGTGAAAATAGTTTGTGACTGATTTCTTTAAAGTTGGATCCTGACTATCACAATTAACACACTGGGACTACATTTCACATGTGCTGCTTTGCAATGAGATCCATTTTTATTGCACAGACTTCTTCATCCTCATGTCCTGGTTAAGGGAGAGCTTACTAGTAAGCACTTCATCACAGTAGAGAATGAATCCACTTTAAACATGGTTTCTGCCTCTTGCAGAATTCTGAGATTTGTAGTTTAGTGAGGCTGTTAAAGGCTCCTCCCTAAACTACAAATCCTAGAATTCTGCAGGAGGCAGCAACCAGAGTTAAAGTGGATTCATTCTCTAATGTGATGAGGTAGTAAGTCCACTTCGTATTACTACACACAGAAGGAAGACAATATTTTGACTTGCTGTTTCTTTTGTTTCCAGTTTGTTTTAAGGCTACCATTTGATCATTTGCTTGTAACAATATTTTGAACACTAAATTGTTCACCTGATTCTGCATTCCACATTTTTCTTTATACTCGATTATTCTTGGGGACAAAATATTCTATTCAACCTTTCTAGCAAGAATACAATTTAAAAAGAGAAATTGATACTTCCATTCCTCTTACCCAAAAGTTATATTTAGTTAGAATCAGATAACTGTTCTTACACTTAAGGAGGTGTGTGATATGGTAGATGGAATTACAATCAAAATAAACGAAACTATTCCTTTCTCTTTTTCCTTCTCCAACCAGCAGGGAATGGACAGATAGGTTTTTTTTCCCCCTGAGGTCCGATTTGGTAACTTGTAGAATGATTCTGAAAGGAGCCTAAGGATCTAGGTTGGGATGTACCCTACAACTACAGGGCACCCATTCCTGCCTCATAGCTCTAAAATGCTGTTCACTTACTCATAATTCATAATGTTTAAATTTCAGACTTTAATGGAAAAAGAGAATTGCTTCTATAGACTTCATTAGCTTTTGCTTTAAGTTTAAAAAGATAGCAGCCATAAGTAACACACACATATGAACCACCTCAGAGATTAAGATCTTTTGGGGAGGCCCTGCTCTCAGTCCCACCTTCTTCACAAGCACAACTGATAGGGATGAGAGACAGGACCTTCTCAGTGGTGGCCCATTGGCTGTGGAACACCCTCCCTAGATCAGCCCCCTCCCTCCTAGCCTCCAGAAGGAGAGTAAAAACTGGCTCTTGGACCAGACATTCAGAGAAGCAATGCAACAATATAATATAATTGGAATACGGAATGGCTTCAGACTATGATTTCAACTTAGAGAGTTCAAGCATACTTCTGATTCTGCTTTGTGTATTTTTAAACACACTTAGCATGGCTGCAAAGATGTTCAATAAAGTGTTTGTCACAAATTATGAGGTATGCGACATTTCATCTCCTTATCTGATGATCTGTCATGACGTCTCAAACATATTTAAGCCATCAAGCTACACACATGGCTTGAGTTAAGTGACTATGGAAATACTCTGTTTTTTTGTTGCTGGAATGAGGACTTTTTAATTAAACCACAAAGGATATGCTGACCAAAGATAAGCATTTTCATTGTGAAATTTCATATTACAGAATGCTACCAGCCTGATTGCTTTGTCAAGTTACATTTTGTTGGTTTGTTTATTTAATGTTCATAGAATACTTTTAAATGGGGGAAAGCACTGCAAGACTTCTGATAATTTAATGTGAGGGTTTATAATGACAGAGACAAGACGATAATATTCATAATGGAAAATGAATCAATAATGGGAGAAGGAGGGATGGGACACATACATTCAATAAATGAAAAGAAATCCAGCACTGAAGTGGCATCTGTCTATTTTCACAGATATTTGCACAAGTCTTTAAAAAAACCAAATTGATTCCAAAACTAGAAAAGTGTCAAATACCACCTTAGACTGTTTCCTCAATCATTCTTCAATGTACTTCTTGACATTTATAGTTAAATTTGAGGAACTGTATGTGTGTATGAAGTAAAAAATGAAATTAACCAGAGCCATTGTTGCCAAAGAAGTGGTAAACCTTTGTCTGGATTGAGTTGTCTTAAACTTCAATGAAATTCAGAATATTCTCCTTTACCATTAAACAAATACTTCCTTGAGCGTAAGAAACAGAATCAGCGAGGAAATAGTGCTAGAATCTGTCCCTTGATATAGATGTGGGATAATTTGCTTCCTTATTGTAAAAGCATGAATGTAAAGGTATTTGGCGCTTCAAGATGACTCACTTCTAAGTAATAATAATAAAAAATAAACTTTATTTATACCCCACCACCTTCTCCCATAGAAACTTAGGATGGCTTACAAATAGCACACATGGCAAGTAGGCAAGCAATAACTAGTGTTAGTGCAAAATACTAATAGAGTACTGGTCAATGAACCTCTTATTGACACAAACTTTGGTTAGGCTTGGTCAAAGGGTAATAACTGTTAATCTGTCCCTTGATTGCCTCAGCCTTCTGCCTGTAATAGAATAACTTGACATTATTCTGAGAGATACACATTTTTCAATATGGTAAAACAAATTAGGCATACAGACAAGCTGGATACCCACAGAGAGCAGATCTGCCTACTTCCAAAACTTGTTTTTGGAGCTATTTTTAATGGAGAAACCTCATACATTGTAATAGATATTTATTTATTTGTATAATTGTTAAAAGTGTATTTACCTCATACTATACATCACCTAAGGGGCTTTAGTATGTCGAGAGAAGAAAAATAAATGCCATAACTAAGTAAGCAAATAAATACATCAATCAATATTTACCCTTGTATGAGTTCGAATGTGCATTTTTAATCCATCATTTTTGCTGAAAGCTTTGTCACAATAAGGACACTGGTAAGGACGTTCCCCTGAAAACAAGGAACAAGCATCAGAATAACAGAATAATAAGGATCATATTAACAGCAATTAAAAATAAATTATTTCTTCTACTTCTCTATGAATTATTTATTCTTAAATGCACAACACCTTTCTCCAATTGAATTCAATATAGCACACATATGATTGTCAGTTAAGAGATGATGAGAGCCAAAATTACTTAGCTACAGAAAGGTTGCTAAATCATTTGTCATCACATCATTACCTGAACCCCACAAACATGGCACGTGGGAAAGAATGTCCTGACTAAGAAGATCAAAGAAGTACAGTATGTTTATGAACCAACTTTTAAAGTTCACTTCATACAATGAAGTCCTTGATTCCAGTGAGCAGTATTTCCAGTGGGAAAGAGCCACATGGTTTCCATGAGCCACATTATATTTGCATCCCTGCAGTGTACAAACAATGCCACAGAGAAACTATTTCCTTGGGTATGCCTATGAGTGTGGTTGAGACAAGACAACCTGACACATCTCAGCTTGAAGGAAACCGCACACACAAGAAGCAAATGGGCAGAGAGATCAAAAGGACAGCTGCTTAATGTTGTCTTAACAAGATATGAATATGAGGACCCACCCTGTCTTCCTGGTGACAACTGTGAGGGTTAGGGTGACTTATTATGGTAAGTTTATGGTCACTTTTATGGCTAGTCATTAATTGTTCTCAAAGTACAGTATGTTTCCCTGACCTCACAGCTGTTCATCATTAGAGCCATCTGGGTGTCACCATCTAATTTAGTTACCTCAATCCATTCTGTTCATGTGTCACATTTAACTCAAAGCAGATTAGCTAAATATTGCAGCTTTGGTCCTGTTCCATAACTCTGAATAGATTTCTTAAATGCGTCATAACTTACTGCATGTCGCACACCAAATCAAAGCTTTTATAATTTAAAACAAATCACATAATACAACGCTCACCACTGTAAATTTATGGGAAATGGCAATACAGTCTATGAAAAATAATAATTAAATAAACAATGGCAATTAAAAACAAACAAACAGAGGAAACACCAGTAGTGTACTTCCCCCTACCCAGATCACTCTTGCCTTAGCTCATTAACAGTAAATGTAAGGATTAGGACAAATATTTTTCACAAGTCCTGCATTCTGTCCCAAGTGCTCTGATTTACAAATTCCGCATCTGTTTGAAATGTGACACTATCTCATCTGACCCTCAATGTCACTAATCCATGCTGTCATCCTTTAGACGCTGCAGGAGCTGTTAGAGTTCAGACATTTAATTAATCCAGTTGACATTTTTATGTTTTGAGGCTTTTGCATTTCAAGGAGAACATTTGGAAAGGTTTGTAAGTAGATCAGTGCTGACAGGTCAGTGTTGACTCCTTTCTCTTCTTTCTTTGTTTATAGAGAAGAGCTTTGTTTTAAAGGACTGGCTTAGGTTGGATATGGAAGTTGTTCATAATGTCCTTCCTGAATCATAGCATTTACAGCTTTTAAAGAACATGGCCTGGATTCTAAGTTGTCCTATATTCATTCTTAAAGGGGAGATGAGGAGTTATAGTTTCTCTAGGCCCTTCCACACAGCTCTATATCCCAGAATATTAAGGCAGGAAATCCCACAATATCTGCTTTCACCTGGATCAGAGTTGACACTCAGATAATGTGGGATTTTCTGACTTTTTTGTGTCAAGCACCAGTTTTAATAAATGTTATGTCAATTTGACAGAATCACTATAATGTATGTGCATGCCTGCGTGTATACACATTAAGTAAGGTTTCTATACTTATTGCTTGGGAGATTCTGTCCCCTTTGCCGCAAAACATATTTATGTATCATGTGTGAAATCTTCTAAGGCAGATTTAGATGTAGACCAGTGTTTCCCAACCTTCTTTTGACCAGGGACCACTCTCCAACATTAGTACCAAAAGGGTTACAAATCGGTTTTTGGTCAACTTTAGATTCAGTTTGGGGTGCCAATTCAGAAAATTGCATTGGATAGACCACATCAGCTCTACTTTCTGATACAAAACATATGCCATGGTCAGCAACAGGGAAGGAGTTGCAGGTAACATGCAAGGAGAGGAAATAAATAAAATAAGAGGAAGGGGGCTCACGGACCAGATTTTCATCCTCACACCTCACTGGTGGTCTATGGTCCACAGGTTAAGAACCATTGCTGTAGACCAATGATGTCCAATCTTTGGTCCCCTGGTATTTTGGACATGAGTTCCCAGAATTCCCACAAGCTGGCCAAGGCTGGACACTATTACTGTAGACTAAAGGCATTTAATTAATCTGTGCTCTGGGTAAAGGTTTTCCCAAAATTAAGTCGTGCTCTGGGTAAAGGTTTTCCCAAAATTAAGTCATGTTCGACACTGAGGGGTGGTGTTCATCTCCACATCTAAGCTGAAGAACCGGCATTGCCTGTAGACACCTCCAAGGTCATGTGGCCAGCATGACTGCATGGAGTGCCGTTACCTTCCCTTCAAGGCTTCCCTATTGATCTACTCACATTTGCATGTTTTCGAACTGCTAGGTTGGCAGAAACTGGGCCTAACAGCGGGAACTCACTCCACTCCCTGAATTTGAACCACCAACCTTTCAGTCAGCAAGGTTCAGCAGCTCAATGGTTTAACCCACTGCACACCAAGGGTCACCATAGTCACCATAGTGTCACCATAGTCACCATAGAGTCACCATAGTGACTCTAGCAGACCAGAAAGGGTCACTAACTCCTGATGTTAACATGCAAGGCTCCCCTTCACATGAACTAAACTGACTTCTTCTGAGATCCATACACTTTAATCTGGATATGCTCTTCATGTGATATTGCTGCCTCATACAACCGGGATTCTGAAAACTGTAGACAAAAAAGTAACATTTCCAATTTTCTCCCTTTCTCTCACATACACAGATATGCACAGATATCACAGATTGTGACTTCTCCTCCTTTTGAGTTTTTTAAATAAAAATAAAATATTTTATTCAGTTTTCAACAATAATTTATAATCTCTGTCAATATCTTTCAGATCACGTTACAGTTTCACATCTGTAAGTATAAAAATATAAATTGAAGTACTTTTCTGTGTAGCTTTTCCCCCTGATACATATATCCACTTTCAATCTGTCTATAACAGTATCAAAGAATTAAGGAACTTTTTAAATATCTACCTTTTTCATCAACTGGATAAAGGGAACAAAGTTATTATTTACACTTAGTATATTCAGGTGCAGATATTGGCTTGCTGTGACAGGGAAGTAAATTATATTTATACTGCAGTTTAGCAAAGTATGTAGATATTGTTTGAAATCTGAAATCACAAATTAGATCGACACCTTTCAGGGATGCTTCAGCTGAGATTTCCTCCATTGCCAGAGGACTGGACTATCTTCCAACTCTAGAGCTGTATTATATGATGCTGACTCAGAAATACTATTAAATCATTCTTGCCAATAAAAAATAGAAATCCCAAATAAAAGTATTAATCCTTTTTTCTTACATGTCTTGATCTGATGGCATTGTAAATCAGTTTAATAAGAGTAAATAAACCTGAACAATAAAAAAATACCAAACCACAACTATAACATATGTGTGAAATGAGGATAATTCTCCTGGGTAGGAGGTCAGGGGAGGTGAAGGAAAAAAGGCCATCTGGATCACACATTCAACACTCCCTGCCAGGTGATCAATAGAGGAGTCCAGAAAGGAAGTGGTAAAAGAGCTTTTCTAAGCAGAGATAGTGTGAGGTGATGACAGCAGGCAATAACAAGTGTGAATGGACAGAAAGGTTAAGGTAAAGGAGAACGGGATTGTAACTTTGGAAGGTTACTTCAAAATCTGTACCTCTAAAAGGCATAAAATGTTTCTGTATATGCACTTCATTAAGTGAGGAAAGTCAGATGCATTAATGGGTTTTCAATGAACATCAGTGAGAAGACTAGTTTGCCTAACAGTATAGAAGTTTTATGGTTTGATTAAAGACAGTCCTTGTGTTAATACTCAACATTATCCTCTTTTAATTTAAGAATAAATTCAGCCCCATATTTGGATAATCCATTTGCCCATTGTTTCAGGAAATATATGACAGGGTTATCCAAGCAATCTAGGGATAATTGAAATGATGCAAAATGCACAGCAAAGAAAGTGGGAGTGATAGTTTGAGACAGAATCCAAAAGTGTGGTCCCACCATGATTTCTCCATCTGTCAGTTTTATCTCCCTTCACTGCTTCAACATTGCTTTCCCTCTACAACACAACACTTAGTCTGAAGATCTGTGGAATCATCCTACACCAATTTTGGTCATCATGGTAAGCGGATCTCCCTCTGGGGAGGCCCTGCTCTCGACCCCGCCTCTATCACAAGTGAGGCTGGTGGGGACGAGGAGCAGGGCCTTCTCGGTGGTGGCCCCTCACCTGTGGAATTCACTCCCCGGGGAGATTAGATCGGCGACTTCCCTCTTGTCATTTAGAAAAAAATTGAAAACTTGGATGTGGGACCAGGCATTTGGACGTTCTGGCAGCTAGAGGAAGGACCTTGATGATGGACAGGAATTGACTGAACGGAATGGATTTATGGAACTCTGAACACTGAGCATGAGATTAGTTTACTGATTGTGTTATGTACTGATGATTTTAACCTGTTAATTGTTTAATTGCTGTTTTGTATGTATGTATATTTGACATAGGCATTGAATTGTGCCTTCTTTGTAAGCTGCCCTGAGTCCCCCCTCGGGGGTGAGAAGGGCGGGGTAAAAGTAATCGAAATAAATAAATAAATAAAGCTGTTAAGAACAAGGGAGAGGAGAAAGTTCCAATACCTTGGCAATTCAGTCCCAACACAATGTTGGTCTAGGCTTTTCTAAGCACACAAAGTACATCAGAAATGCATTTGGATAAGGCAGTTGCAATAATTAATGTTTCAATAACAATTTTCTGCTCATTTCACCTCTGTAAAGAATGCTCAGTTTTTGCAAACCAAATATACACAAATCCTCTGAATTAATTCCAGAAAACATGTGAGAAGTCTCCCACAGGATGGTAAAACATCAAACATTCAGGCGTCACCTGGGCAAGGGCCTTGCAAGATGGCCAATTCTCTCACACCAGGAGCAACTTACAGTTTCTCAAGTTTCTCCTGACAGACACAAAAATTCTAACTAAATATACTGAACTTCAAATTTACTATAACACAGAAAAACTGGGTTTGTGGATTTACAGCTATTACAGCTTCCATGAAAATGCACTGGCATATTCCAAGTATTTAGACAAACTACACAGAAAAATAAAGGAGATATATCACACTGAAATCCTGAATTATTTCAACTGGCAAACTAAACTGGTCAATCTAACTGTAATACAATTCTCATTCCACCAATTTCAATACACACTTCATTGCTCCAACTACGGCAGGAACAGGAACATGTACCTAGAACATCTTCTAAATACTTATATAACAGTTAATCATTTTAATGCCTCAAAATTTCATAAATCAAGATAATATCTTTGTTGGCACTCCAAATCTCAGGACATAGACTTGGAACAAGTCAAACTTACATTAATACTTATTTAGTCCATGGGTGAGAACCCCAAGTAACATTGTTTTGGTAAACTGTCCTGTATGCTCCAGCTTACCAAATCAAGTGAGTTTCAGCATGTTTATTTCATTGCTGTATTGTGTCTCTTCTGTTTTTAAAATATGGAGTGTTTATTCTTCACTTTATTTAAAAAAATGATTAAAATGCCTTGACCTTCATGAACCGTGTGCTGCTTCTCTTTACTATTCTTTTACAATCACCAAGCTATTAAGTGTTGTACTTCACTTGATCTAAAGAAGTCACTAGCAATCAAGAAAACAATTCTTTGAAAGAACGTATTTCTCTCATCCACTAGTAGCAAACCAACAGGAGGCTGACAGCTGCCTGAGATTTTACAGGTACTTTTGAAGATTTAACTGTCTCAGGCAGATAAAATAGATGATGATATATAAGCCCAATGGGTTTGGAATGCAGATCTTTTCAACTCTGTGGCTTATGAGAATGAAACTATTTTTATAGACAGCACATTTTTCTTTGAAAACAGAAAGAGATGATCACTATTTTGTTATAAAATGAGGTTGTAAAAAAAAGGAAATTTAAGAATCCAGGAGTGCAGAAAGCAAAGGAACAAAAAATCAAAATTATCAAATTGGTTCATGAAGCTAATTTTACTCTTTTTCCTAAACCCAATAAAGATTCAGCATGGTAAATGGATTAGCACCAATTTGCTTAACATTACCCATCCTCTCTTGCCTTTTCCATCTTTATATTTGTTGTTAACTGCCTTCAAGTCAAATTTGACATATGGTGACCRAATGAATAACAGACCGTCAAGGTATCCTAGGGCCCTTTCAGACAGGCATCAATCCTACGGGGAACGAGTATATTTTATCCCAGGCTTCTGTGGGGGGGGGGGGGGTAGATACATGCCCTCCCAGGTCAACCAGAGTTTGAAATGGGACAGCATGGAGCCAGCCCCCAGCTCCCCATTTACCCCCAAAACTTACATGAGGGCCCTGGCTACATGCTCAGGCCTCTCCAGCGAAAGCTCCTGGCATYTCAAAATGATGTTTTAGGAGGTTGGGGAAATATTTTTATCTCTCCCCCTCCCCACAACTTGTCATTTTCATGCACCAGAAGCTTTAGCTGGAGGGGCCTGAGCATGCAGCCAGGCCCCTCACATATGTTTTGGGGAATAAATTGGGGGCTACAATAGCTACTATTGATGTGACAAAGAACTCTGTAAAGTTGTTAACTGTGCAGTGGCCTGAGTACATGTTGGACTGTTATGAAAAAGGCAATCTAGACCTATCAGTGTGTATCCAATGGATCTTACTTCAGAACATCAGATGGATCTCATCATGCTATTTACAAAAGTCATGCTTCAGTGAGATGTTTTTCATGTGTATCCACTAAAGTAAAAAAAAAAAACCTGCCTGTGATAAACTATGGCCAGTCCCTCTCCTTATGTCCTCATGTGTTATGCACAGTGTTTCTATGCATAGAACTATACAAGCATACAATCATGTACTAACATTGTGAATACCTTCTGCCCCAAGAACACATATTCACATATAGTTTCTATAAGCTTTTATGCCTTTGGGCGAAGGATCCATTACAGAATTAGCCAAGGCTGACATGACCCAGATCTCCATTGTTATCTAACCATCTCTCATTTCTGTTACTGATTTTTCAACCTCTGGCTTCACTTGCCTCATAGTTCACTTTTTGTGGGCTGTAGTTTCTCTGTAAAAACAACTGTATCACTTGTAAATGCTATGCACTCCCTGGTCATGATGAACAAAGTATTATACTAGTAAATAATAGTAATAATGAATTATTACCAAAAGAAAAGCAATCTGCAAGGCGAAGTTAGACTGAACTTATGAACATAACATTTAACTCTGCAAAAGCAAGAAGCACAATGGCTGCTGGAACACCAAAACAGATCTAACTGATAAGGCCAGGGACCATGGTAGAAACCATATTTAGTTGTGTTGTTCAGCACAATGCAACCATTAATACAACTAAACGAATCAAAGATAGTGTGATCTTCCTGCCTGACAGAGAAAACAGCTTCTTAAAATAACCAAAATAATGTGCTTAATACACCAGAACATGCTCATAAATTATCACAGTAGTTTGGTGGCAAGTCATTGGGTTTGCCCAACCTTTTGAGATTCAATAGCTATCATAGATTACTAAACTGCAGGATTTTTGGTGGGTGAGATTTATGTTAGTAGTAATACCAGTCCTTAGTTCCTTTGTAGCAGAATGTTTTCTAGTATTTAAAATACTTCCAACACACACAATGGCCAAAACCCAATATTGTATTGTTAGAACTTCTTCCCCCTTCCTTACACTTTTCTGCTGCATTTCTCTGTGATGTTCCCTCTAGAGCAGGGTGGTGCAGTGGGAGAAATGCCTCCCTATTTCCATTGGATTCAACCAGCATAATTTGGAAACAAGGTGTAGTTCATTCCCTTGTCATTTTAACAACAATTCCTTAAAATAGGTTCATATGACTCTGTCACAACTGTTTTCTAAGATTTACAGAGACACTCGCTGGAACACCCCAGCAAGCGAGAGTCCAAAAGTGGCAGGCTCAAACCTAGAGCCTCAATGAATGGCTGATACCCAATGAGAGACTGGGCACACAGAAAACTGGACAACTAGGAAGGCGCTGAACAGACTGCGCTCTGGCACCATGAGATGCAGAGCCAACCTCAAGAAATGGGGCTACAAAGTGAAATCCACAACATGTGAGTGTGGAGAAGAGCAAACTACAAACCACCTGCTGCAATGCAACCTGAGCCCTGGTGTTGCCTCCTTGCGGCAACATCAAAAGCACTCCAAGTGGCCAGATACTGGTCAAAGGACATCTAATCAACTACCAAGCTTGCAAACTGTGTCTTTTGTATGTATGTTTGTTTGTTCTGTCAAAAATGTAATACAAATGTTCGGCTGCCTGACACGATAGATAGATAAATAAATAAACTGTATGAATTTACACCAAATATTCACTGTAGACTGTGTCTTAGACATTGCCCCTCCTCAATTCAAAAGCTTTTTTCCGGCATTTTTTGTCAGTACCCTGTGACCCACAAATAAGGTCACTTTCTGTGATCCTCTGCTGAGTCCTAACCATCTATTCAGAAACCACAATTTCATCCCTTCCCAAGAAGAAGATTCTGTTTCAGTTTCTCAATCCAAACTTTCATTCCAGTAATCAGTATTCAGGCCTAGTTACAGTCAGAATTGCAAACAGGACAAAACAAGTAAACAGCTTTAATTTTAACAGGTGGTCGCTAGAGATGGAAGTGATTAAGACTTATCAAACATATTAGGAAGCCAAGTGATTAAGTGCACATGTTCTGTCATCTTCCTGCAAGCCCAATTTGTTTATGCAAAACTGAACAGAATGTCATAGGAAGACTATTTGTTAACAAGCGCTTTGCATGTGAAACGCCAATCCTCACCCTTTTAAGTTGGAAGCCAAACATCACTAAAACTCTCAGCAGCTTGCCAATTATTTGAATATATGTAGTCTGTGGTAAAAACAATGCTGCAGGGCATCAAGTTTGTTCTGGAAATGTTTGTCTGCTATGTACACTCAGATCTGCAGATAAGTATAAGTACTTCATATTAGGTGACCATGATAGACACAGACAGAGTCAAGAGGACACAGTGATACTGAATCATAGCACAACCCAAAGTAAAAAGGAAATGTAGCAGGGAACTGTATCCAAACAAGCCAAGCTAAATGCTACATGAATTCAAACTTGGTGTACAGAAACTTTTGGCCAAGGGGTCCACCCAACTAGTATTTTACCATCCAATTAGTGAAAAGCATTATATGTATATTGCTCACAATTCCTCAACAACTTCACACATTATATTTCTCCTATGGGAATAATGCCAAGGTAGAAAAAACAGATTACTATGTATTGCCCAAAATGTAGAATGTTTGGTCCTTTTGTTAATCCTGTGAATCAAACAAGGCAAGTTTGGTATAGTAAAAATGTAACATGAAATAGGAGTCATTTTGTACAAATACAAGGGTTCAGTGTTTTTTCCCCATTAGGCTAATTGTGCGTTGTTTTAAAAACTTAATGTTACAATGTAAACTAAACAACATCAGAAAATGTGAGAAGTGTGTACAACATCAATAAACAGTCTACAATTTTTACAAAAGGAAATCAAATATCTTCATTAATAAAATAATTTCACAAATGTTGGGCAAAACTTCATTTTAATATGCAATAAATCATTAAATAGTACCAATAAAGAAATATGTGTGATGAAATGGTGCAATTCAAACACCCAGGAAAAGTTGGCATCTCAATAATAATGCTGTACCTGTATGACTCCTAATATGTACTCTCAGCGTTCCATTACTTGCAAACTTCTGTCCACAGTATGGACAAATTTTCTCCTTTTCCCCTGTGTGAGTCTATAAAAAGGAATGAGATATAAAGCTTTAATTTGATTGCAAAATGAGAACAAAAAATAATATACCCCCTTTCCCTCTTCCAAGAGTCTAATTGGTTCTGTATCTATTGCAGAGTAAACCATAAATTCACATTTTAAGAGTTTGATAATGGGGGACACTTTAAGACTACACTATAAAATTCCTTCAATAATTTTGCCACTCCTTCCAATAAACTTTGTTATCTAGTATAACTACTAACAGAATTAGGGTTTTTATTCCTCAAATGATTTAGCTCATGAAAATTGTATTAATCTTTACTGCCTCTTGAAAATCTTGTGGGTAAAAAAAGAGGAATGCATCTTACTTGCATATTGTACTAAAGTATATAAAACATGCAGAATAGTTGGCACTAATGTTTATTTCTTAAAAAGAACTTTAAGTTCTGTAAAATAAGACAATAACTTAAATTTTGGAATAGTATTAATAATATTTTTGAATAAAATGTTTTCCAAAAGAAAAAAAAATTAGATGTTACATGACATTTGCTTGTCATGTAACATGGACTGCAATTCACAGTAAACTATAATAAGAACAATTCACACAAAACTTGTTTAAATGGGAAGATTAAATGCAAACAGAATTTGACAATCAAGGACAGCAGTATACATCAAACTGTTTATTTGTAAGTGCCTGAAATGACATCTAGTAAATGTGTGTACTGAAAAGTCCAGAGAATGGCTGTTCAGCAGCCATTGTAGGCTAGCTAGTAGGCATGTGCAATCCATGCTTCTAAATGGTTCTAAACCACTTACAAAACTAAAGTTCTGGTGGTGAAAACTAGGGGGCGCTGGTGCTTTGCTTCTACAGTGTTGCTAAAGTTCTGGTGGTGAAAATTTCAGAACTCTAACAAAACTTTCAAAATTTCATTATTATTTCATTATTGATATTTTTATGACAGAACCAATTAGCAACTGCCATTTATAATGAAATTTTGAAAGTTTTGTTAGAGTTTTGAAATTTTCCACCACAGAACTTTAGCAACACTATAGAAACAAAGCACCAGCGCCTCCTAGTTTTCACCACCAGAACTTTAGTTTTGTAAGTACTTTAGAACCATTTAGAACCATGGATTGCACATGCCTACTAGCTAGGGCTCACATTGTAATAATAATAGTAATAATAATAATAATCACCATCATCATCATCTTTATTTATAGACTGCCCTATCTCACCGAAGGCACTCAGGGCGATTACCAACAAATATGGCAAAAATTCAATGCCAAAAGAAAAACCATACAAACAGTTTACATCAAGACAAGACACATTGGACAATATAGAGCAACATAACTATAACTCAATACTCAAAATAGTGTAAAAAGATATAAAATAAAAACATCATAAAATACAAAAAAAAAAAACCCTGATAAAACACACTAAAAAGAGAATATAAAACCAAATACATCGGAGCTCCACCAGGTGAGGTTCAACAATAGCAATTGCAGGAATGCTAAAGTGGACCTAATCAACTATAAAAAGTGCGGGCGAGGGATAGCGCAGACAGCCTATCGTAAGACCGGGGAAGTGGATGAAGTGCAGAACAGAGTACTATCTGGCAACCTAGGGACAGGGCCTACAGACTAATTATAGGTTAGCTAGAATCCACATTGAAACAAAGACAGTTCAGTCATGGTTCTTTCCACAGTAAGACACAACAAATGTGCCTCCAAAGGAGTATAAAGCACAAGACCTACAATCCATCCTTGAGCACAATTTTGGAAGTTAATATCACTTGAACAGAGATTTTGGCTTCCATCTTCTAGTCTGTACTTGTAATTCAATACAGTTAACTATTTTTTATGACAAACACGTAACTGTTAGTAGTTTAATAAAAAAATTGTAAGTTTCCATGTCATCCAGGTAGGGTGGCAAAGGATATGACCTTCTTGAGGTTTCCAATTCCAATCATTCCTACCACTGATACTTCTATCACAAGTGGATAAACTCTGTCAATATTTATTCTGTTTATCGAAAGTCAAGGTTTACAGAGGGAGGGGAGCCAATATTGACTTAGCTTATCTTATCAAATGCAACAGCACACAACCATAATGAAATCAAAGTTAAGACAAATACAAACCGGTCAATACTCCAATCTTAAGACTATAATTTGTCATAAGAGGGCATACAACTTGCAACGGCATTACAATATGAAAGAGATAAGCACTTTGAACATCATGCTATGCATTTGGAATGGCTGACCATTTTTAATCAGTAACTGCCAGCAGGTAACCAAAGCGAATTCAAGTAGAAAATATGACTTCTTCTATCATTTCACAGCCATCTACAGCCCTGATTCAGAGAATGGTTAACTACATAATGTGGTGAGAATAATACTCAAACCTATACTCTACACACTCATAGCGATTTTTGTCAAAAATTCAACCCCCAAAACCTGAATCAACTCACCAAAAGTCAATGTAAGCACTGTATGTTGACTTACCAAAAAGGAACCAACCCCTTGTCTTGAGTAGAGTGGTGAATTTTAAGAGCTTAGTCTGTCCTGTCATAATACAAAAGAAGCACTGACCCCATTTACTCTCTTCTCCGTGGCCCTGATTCTGGCTTTTTGAAATGCTTTTGTAAGGAAATGGCAATGGAAAGAGCTCCCTGAGGCAGTATTGGTGTTTACTCCTCTCCACGAAAGGTCATATCAGACGGATAGTGAAAAGGTTTATAAATGATCTATAACTGTCATAGACGGGCCCTTCAGATATTGTTGGACCTCCAGATAATTACAATAGGGAATCTGTAACCCTAACTAATATTGTCATTAGCTAGGAATTATGGGAGCTATGTGGGATGAATGAAAAGTAATGCCTCCACCTTCGTAACTCCTCAACAGATGGCAGTATAGTATGCGGCAGTACTGGTATGTGGCAACTACATTATGTAGTTGTTCAATAGACTCTCCTCTACAGCCTTAGCATTGAATGGTTGTGTTGTTGTGTTGCTAAAGTACGAAGTATGGAACCCTGCACAGACGGTCGGTCAATGCAACTTAAGCAACATGCAGTCATTGAATTCTTGACAGCAGAAGGTGTCACCCCAAAGGAGATTCATCAGAGAATGCAAGCTGTTTATGATGATTGTGTTGATGCCAGTACTGTGCGTCATTGGGTGAGTAAGTTTAAAGATGTTGAAGTGGGAACATCTGACTTGAGTGACAAAGATTTGGATGTCCTGTGACAGCAACTACTGAGTTTCACAAGCAAAAGGTTGACAGATTGATTCAGGACAATCGTCGTATCACTCAGAGAGAAATTTCAAGCATAATCGGCATTTCACAAGAACGTGTGGGTCACATTATTGCTTTGCTGCCTATCAGAAGATCTATGCACGATGGGTTGTGGAAACAGAATGTCAACTTCTTCCATGACGGCTTCAAATAACTTGTTCATCATTGACAGAAATGTATCAAATTGCCTGGTGATTATGTAGAAAAGGGAATAGTGGAATAGTGGAAAAGAGCACATTCTAAGGATTATTTCTGCATTTGATGTATTAAAATATTCCTGTTCAAACCCAAATAACGAAGGTGAAGGTACTACTTTTCATTCAACCTTCGTACATTCTAAGAAGGTTTATAACCCCCCAACCCATATTTAAGAACAGAGCATTGGGTAGAAACACTAGAAACTAAGTTACTCAAACAAAGTTTTGGATTCTAAAATGTAGTAGTCTCCTAAGAGATTTAGGATAATCCACAGAGTTAGACACATAGTCATTAGGAACACTGCTGAAGGCATGAATGGCATAGAAATAGAACTTTGAAATGCACTGTTGAAGGATTTAGAAACTTTATTTCAAATGAGATCACATGAGTAAGATTACTGAACTGCTTGTTCCATGGATGATTTTAGAACATTACATTTGATCCTATTTAAAACAGGCTGCAATTCTCACATTTGCCAGGAAAACCTCTAATTGTTATAATGTTATACACTCAACACTCCAAAGTGAAATCCTCTAACTTGCATAGTATGCATGATGAATTCCTTTATGTTCGTTCCTGTAAATGGTATAGTATTTCAGACTGCAGAAAGCCAATACAACTTTCCACTCTCTGACTCTAGGGAACTCATGTTAAATTTTTTGTGGATTGAGATAAGTCTTTTTAGAAATATTATACATTAGTTAATGATTACATTGACAGATTATATGCAGAAATCCACTAATATACTCTAAATGAACACATTGGCAGCAATTCATAAACTAATCAATTATAAAGGTAGAAATACTTGTATTTTCCTGCTATGTAAACAAAAATGGAAGTGAAACATTAGAAATGCTTTCATAAAAGATTTTTTGATTTTATTCACTGTACAGATAGAGAAATGATATATGGCCAAAAGTTTAAACACAACTGGATGTGAGAATATGTATGTTCTTCAAAAGTGCTACTTCGGCATAACATTCTAAGAGGATATTTATTTAAATTTTCACCCACACAAGGAAAAAAAAATCAGCATGAAATGAAAAAAGTTGAAAGAATAAAATATGGAACATTTTCAATGTTGGAAATGCAACAGCGCTTAATATTTAAGCTGCTAAAGATGACTTGAGAAAGCAGCAGCAATAGGATTAAGCAATCTTCAGTGACGCAAAGGTCCCTTGTCTTGTAGCTATGTATCCTGTTGTTTTTGTTATATGCCTTCAGGTCATTTCCCAAGAAGGCAAACATATCAGGGTTTTAAATAAAATTTGGACAGAGGGAGAGCTTGCCTCCATCTAAAGCAGTGGCCCTACAGGTGTTTTGGAACTCCCAGAATTCCTGACCATTAGATAAGCTAGTTAGGGCTTCTGGGAGTTGGAGTCCAAAACACCTGGAGGGCCACAAGTTTGACACCTCTGCATGTCAGGAGCAACTTGAGAAATTGCAAGTCACTTCTGGTGTGAGAGAATTATCCGTCTGCATGGACATTACCCAGGGGACGCCTGGATGTTTTGAAGTTTTACCATTCCTGTGGGAGGCTTCTCTCATGTCCCCATGTGGGGAGCTGGAGCTGACAGAGGGAGCTCATCTGCACTCTCCCCGGATTCGAACCTCTGACTTTTCAGTCTTCAGTCTTCAGTCCTGCTGGCACAAGGGTTTAACCCATTGCTCCATCAGGGGCTCCTTTTTGATGCCCCTGAAAAGTCTAGAGAATGTGACTTGTTCAAGGTCACCCAATGTGTTTCCATGGCTGGTTACTTTACTTACTTTTTTATGACTCTTAAGTACAGAGGGTGTCACGAAGGCTTTGTCACACAAATCACATTTATATTTCTTATGGCCATCATGAACAACTTGTATATGAACATTCAGTGTGTCCTTCCTTTTGAATGTAGCATCACAGTGATCACATTTAAAGGTTCTTTCACCTAAGCAAATGGAAAGAGTATTAGTATATTAATAATGAAATTGTCAAAACTTCTATTACAGTGCTAATGTTTATAAATATATAGTAGTGATTAACACACTGAAGACAGCTAGATCACAGCACAGAATGAATATTCCCTTTACACCTCAGGATGCAACAAAAAGATACACTTTAAAAATGTTATTTGTCTCCATATTTGGCATACAGTCTCACTACTACTATAGTCATTCTTTAAAGAAGTCTTTCTATCACATGCACCACCTGACATCAATTGGGAAGGAACAGACTGTAAGGAAAGGACCAAGGCATTTGCATCTCAGGTCCATGCTCGGTTCAGCCAGCATGGCAACGTCTTAAATCAAGAAATAGCTTTCTATGCTCTACAGAGACACTCGTAGGAGCACCTCAGCAAGCAAGAGTCCAAAATTGGCAAGCTAAAACCTGGAACTTCAATCAGTTGCTGATACCAGATGAGAGACTCTCTTCTGGGCATACAGAAGATTGGGCAACCTGAAAGGTGCTGAACAGGCTGCGCTCTGGCACCACGAGCTAACCTTAAGAAATGGGGCTCCAAAGTGGAGCCCACAACATGTGAATGCAGAGAATAGAAAACCTCAGACCACCTACTACAATGCAAACTGAACACTGCTACTACAATGCAAACTGAACACAGTGACACCAGAGGCACTCCAAGTGGCCAGCTTCTGGTCAAAGGAAGTTTAGAAAAATGCCAAGTTTTTTAACTTTGTGTTTTTAAATACATTATAACTGTATTTGCTTCTGACAATTATAAATAAATAAATCACACATTCAGATATGTACTCTAGAAACTAATTGAGGACCCTTCTACACAGCCATATAAACCAGAATATCAAGGCAGAAAATCCCACATTTTCTGCTCTGAACTGGAATATCTGGCAGTGTGGCCTCAGATCCCAGTTCAAAGCAGATATTGTGGGATTTTCTGCCTTGATATTCTGGGTTATATGGTTGTGTGGAAGGACCCGTAGAATTACTTGAAGTTGTACAATTTTCCGAAATAATAATAAAACAAACTATACACAAAAAAGTCAGTGCTTGCCACTATTCTTACTTTTTTAGGCCTATTTAACCATTCTACATGCATTTCAAAATATGCTCTATGCTGCAGACAGAACATAACTTTTATGGACGATAAAATAAAAATGGAAGAAGATATACTTGTTTTATTATGTTTCATAATATTTTACAGTTATTGTTTTATTGAGTGTTATTGCTGTATTTTTTATTCTTCTGATTCTTACAAAGTAAATGGGACCATAAATTTTAGAAATGAATACATAAGAAGATCCTGCCATTTTTCAGTATTTCATTTGACAAGGGATTTTGGGAATAAGTTTTTGAACCTCGACTTATGCTACCACTTACTGTTATGTATCAGAAGGTGTCTCTGCAGAGAGAATGGGGTTCGGAACAATGCTTTGCATTCCTCGCACTGAAATGGTCTCTCTTCAGAGTGGGTCTGCAGATAAAATAAAAGGCAGGAAAAAAATTCAGAAAAAAACTATTAAATTATTGTAACTAGCATTGCTGACTCTGTTGAGGTATTGTCTCTTTCGACCCAAAAAAAACTACCAAATGTTTAATTCCACATGCACCACTTGGTAATAATGTAGTTGGCGTTAAGCAGATGTACACTACATAAAGAAGGGTCCATATAAATATGGCCAGATTCTTTTTTTAAAAAAAAATCCTTGCTTCAAGGTTTTGTTTGGTGTTTCACCAGATGCCAAAACATGAAGATTTTCCAAATCTTGCGTGCAGATGTATAAGAATGCCATTGCCTCAGTTAACTCCAGCCTAGTTTTAGGCAGCAGTTCCACTGCATCATCTGCAGTTTCAATTCTCAATTCAAAATCTGTCGGTTATTTAGAAACAGAAGTTAGAACTTAACACCAGAATTTTTGTCCATAGGTTCCAGCTAGCTAATTACTTTATTTATATTTCACCTTTCTTCTAAGCTATCGCTCAAGACAGATTCTTTGTTTGCCACTTTTAAAACATATGTTTAAAATATATGCGAAAAAATATAAAGCATAGCTCTGAAAACACACACATTCTAATTGAACAGTATTCTTGAAAAGTTCAAAGGTAATGAGAGATATAAGCTCCTCAAAATTTTAATGCAATGGAAAAATATAGTTGAGAAAGCCTGGTGCCTCCAAACATGGTGAAAGAGACACCAATGCAAACTACCAGTTAATCTATGGAGGATTTCCAAAAGTAGACTTGAAACAAGCAGTCTTTCATTTGGTCTGCATTCAGGAGATGTGAAAGAAATGCTTTGTGGTGGTGGCATCTTGCTTCATGCCTAGATCCAGAATTATATTTAACTTAAAAGACTCAAAATTCCAAATGATAAGATCATCATGCCCATCTTAGTATTCTGGTTATTGGTTTTTGTTGTGTATTGGTTGACCAAGTTTTAATGCTGTTGTTTTATACTTTTATGTTTATTTAATTGTGTTTTATTTGATTGATATGCTTTGCTATGTTTTATTTTAACGTATTTTTGTTCTTAATAGATTTTTTTTGTATTGATGTTCTGTGGACATTTTGTCCCATGTGCAAGCTGCCATGAGTCCCTTCAGGGAGACGAAGGTGGGGGTATAAAAATAAAATTATTATTATTATTCTTTTACTGACACAAAAACACAGTATGGCACAGTAAATGAGATATATATGCTGGATTTTGTATCACAAAATCACAAGTCGAACACTTCCCAAGTGTTTAAGACTGTGTGGTGTATTTTCGAATGATGTGCACAGATCCAAGTAAGGTGGCCTTTTGCAGCTGACAGATCGTTGCTGTTGTTGTTCAAGGTGCAGTTAATAGACAAATGTGGTCTAAGTCTGATGTTGCCCAGGTTTTACATCAACTGCACAACAGAAATTGCTTCTAATCCCCATACAGCCATTGGAGTTACTAGTCAATTTCATATTACGAGCTGAAATACTCTAAATGATATTTGCACTTCCCAAAGATTTCACTTTAGCGCAAGATCTGTTGTCTTCAGTGGAATACAGCTACTTTTCCCCCACTTAGATCATATGTATATATATGTACATACTGTAATTTCCAACTTATAGTGACGCAAGGCAGATGTGAAGAGGGAGATAAATCATTCCCTTCCCTATAGACTCAGGCAAAAGCATATTGCTGCAGCCTCTCCTAGTTTTTTTGTTCTTCTCCTTTTTCCATCTTGATCATACTCTGATGTTGCATGGCCATGTATGCCCTACCTACACACACACACCATCCATTACTGGGTACATATGCAAGAACAGAGCCTTTTTGTATACAAACCAAAGAAGCTTTGTTACCGAAATTAAATATGCACTGTTTTCTGTAATATTTTTACATTGTTATTTGGATAAATGCATTTTTTTTAATTTAACGTAAAAAAGTTTCACTTTGGCATAAAATATATAAAATAATGTATGCATGTGTTTGAGAACAAAGCATAGACACTGCTAATATGCCGATTACTTTTCAAGCCAAATTTGTGTGTGTGTGTGTGTGTGTGTGTGTGAATGGAGAAAGCATAGCCAACAATGTGCATAGCTTATTAAAAAGAAAACAAAAATAATTTTCCAGCTCCCCTTTATCTTGAAATAACACTCCTAAGCATGCCAAGAACATCAGGTAGTAGTGATTGCATTGGGTTTTCTTCCTGCCTTTTGACTTGAATCTGCAGGTAGAACAATGTAAAAATCCAAATTGCCCAACTGTCATTTTTTTGTTAATATAAAGCTATATATGGTAACTCCCCTTCTAGAAAAAACACTGCATTTGGAAGCCACTTCTATGAGGTTGTTGTGTGTCTATGCAAAATATACATTATTGGTAGTACTACCAGCATGACTCTTTTAACTGCAGCTGGTACAGAAAAGCCAAATCATGTCTGGATATAAAGAGACTGAGCTACCTTCTCACCTCAACAGGTGGATCCTCCAGAACAGGGCTGAGAGATTTGGATGATACTTTGCTGTGGGGAAGCTTGCACTGCTGCTGACTGTGCTGCACCTGTTCTGTGGATAAATAGAAGGCTTCAGTCTCTAAGGCTGTTAATTTGGCACCATGCATGACGGAAAATTGCACCTGCTTTAAATTCCCTCCCATTTACATACACATTTGGGACTTCATAGGTGATCTGCTGCCCTGGTCTTAATCAGGCTCAATTTCTATCTGGAAAACTTACTTTACAGATACAGCTCTTGCAACCACTCAATAAGCATAGTCAATGGCCATTTGAAAAACTGTACTCCAAAAACTAACTTCTCTAGATTCTTTAACATGATCAGACATTTTAAGCCTTAAAACACGGGAAATGCCACCATGTTATTAGGAAACTCTGGCATGCCTCTCTTATCATGTCAATAAACTTTCAAGACAAGCTCAAGCACAGATGAAGCCACATCTAAATTGAATTCGGCACAAAAATATAACTCCAGAACACAAATGTATAGGCTATCGATTTGGAATTCCTGAAGTGCATCAAATTCAGTTAATTCAACTGCGACACCCCTCAAACAAACAAAGGTTGCCTTTAATTATGTAAACAAGTCCTTTGTTTCATCTGGAATAGTTCAAGCATTGCTTGGCCATTTCGTAGCCCTTTGCAGGCTTTTCCTCCCCTGAAAGAACTATTTCATATTTTAGACTACTAACCATCACTGGAAGAAATGTTTAGAAACTTCTTACCCAATGCATTTGCCAAAATACATACGGTGTTTGCACACCAGCAAGGTTCCTCCTAGCCAATTGTTGGCATTGGCTTAGAGAGATCATGTAAGTTAGAGCCAATGCATAGAGTAAGAGGCTTTAAAATATATGCCTTCTGCACAGAGCAAAAGGATAAGCGCTTTTATCAGCCTCCACATGTGAGGTGTATTGTTTAAATTGGCTCTCAGTTAAATACAGACAGAATGTTGTTGATTGTGGTTCCAGAGATTCAGAGAAAACGGTGTGCTAATTATACATCCAGCAGGGTTCTTCATAAGTAAAGGCCCTACTCCATGACAAGTTGGTTTGGAAACAGAGTGGTGCATCCAAAAGCTGTTTGCAATATATATGAGCGCCTGCCTGAAAATATAAATTCAGTGGCTTCTGGAAGCACTCCTAAAGGAAAGGCAGCTAGTTCCACAAGACTGGAAGACTAAACATTCCTCACTAAAGTCAAATAGGCATATATTCTTTGGCATTGAAATCAATGATGAGAAGCTGACTGAACTGGGAACTGGTGGCACTGTTTTAAAATGGTGCCACACCTTCCTGGATAGCTAGATTATTGTTAAGCTTCATGGCAATTAGTTCTTGGGGGAGTCCACCCCCCCCCCATTTTATTTTAATATCTACATGTCATCACTGGAGTTCATTAGGGGTATTCCTGGATGAGTTGTCATCAACATACTACTCTACCTGTCCTTTTTTTATATCTAATCAAGACAAGGCAATAGACATCCTGAACTGGTGCCTGAGATGGGGATGATAGTAAACAAACCAATACTCAATCCAGAGTTGTGAATGGTGTTGGTCGTTCACTTGCCAATTTGAGTGGTGTTTAAACTGCTCTTCAGTGGACCACACTCCCACTTAAGGATCAGGTGTCCAATCTGTGCTCCATCACTGTTAGGTAGTCCATCATCTTAAAAGCACCTTTTATTACCCTGGATTGATTACTATCTATAATTTACTTACTGAAATAGCCTGGCAACAGTTGGATCTTGGTTGGATTGCTGCATTGTGTTGTATCTAAACCCATCTCTGAAAATAATTCAGAAATGCAATTTTTTCTTAAATCGGTTAATGGCTATGATACCAACAGGGAGTGATAACAGAGGTTTATCAATGGCACTGGCATTTAGGCTGTTACCAGGCCCAATCCAGTTTGTTTAAAGTTCAAAATGATTTCAAACCAGATTTGCTAAAGAAACTATCTAACCAGACCATCATCTTCAAAGTGCCCTCAATGGATGAAATTGGAGTGGAGTGCCTATAACTGTGAGGTAGATCTCTGCTTAGATTTATGTTATCATTCAGTGCTTCATGAAAAAAAATTCTCGGAAGTATTTTATTTTTTTATGGTGACTAGATTTTTTTCGATGCCTTTTATATATACACTTCACTACTCTTATGATTGTTGTGGGCTTTTCTAAAAAAATCATGAGCCAGTCTGAGATTGCTTTGTTTGTATAACATCATGAAAGAAAAAGAGTTTTAAATTCTTAAATTCATTTTATCATTCTTTTTGGGAAATTCTTCATCACTATTTCTACATATCTAAAGCAATATGGATTTTCTATTTCTATTACAGCTACTTTCTTTTTTTTTCCTACTCTATTTTTTCTCTTTTGAGATACTTTCAACACTTTATATATGCAACATTTAAAAAGAGGGGCAGGAATGAACTTGGAGGTGTCTATGGATAATGCCGGCTCTTCGACTTAGAAATGGAGATA